ATATATATATTCTTGCTCAGCGTAAAATTCTGCGTCGATTTAGACATGTCCGTCTGTCCGTCCGTCCGTCCGTCCGTCCGTCCGTCCGTTCGCACGATAACTCAAAAACGAATAATGCAATCGACACCAAACTTTCACAAGTTTTTTCTTTTGTGCCAAGGACGAGCCCTATTGTTATTGGACTAATTCGGACAACGAGTTCGGGTAGCTGCCATACAACTCAAAGAGTTTATTTTAAATATTTCAAAAACTAATAAAGCTATAAATATAAAATTTTGTATACATGTGTCCAATTGTATTCTACACATGCTCTAGAAATTATAATGGGATAGCTGCACCGGTTCGGGTGGCTGCCATACAACTCCAAAAGCAAATTTTTTATATTCGGCAAAATAATAAAGTCAGATTCATGAAACTTGGCATTGGATGTCCGATTATAGATCAGATATATTTGTGAAGTTTTAGAGGAATTGCTTGACAGGTTCGGGTACCTGCCATACAACTCTAAGAAGCTAATTTTAAATATTTGGAAAAATAATAAAGTCAGATTCATGAAACTTGGCAGTTTTGTGTCGAGTTATAGGTCAGATATATTTCTGAAGTTTTAGTGGAATTGCTTGACAGGTTCGAGTAGCTCCCATACAACTCCAGAAGCTAATTTTAAATATTTGGAAAAATAATAAAGTCAGATTCATGAAACTTGGCAGTTTTGTGTCGAGTTATAGGTCAGATATATTTCTGAAGTTTTAGTGGAATTGCTTGACAGGTTCGAGTAGCTCCCATACAAGTCTAAAAGCTTATTTTAAAAATTTGGAAAAATAATAAAGTCAGACTCATGAGACTTGGCAGTCGTGTGTCCAATTATAGGTCAGACATATTTCTAAAGTTTTAATGGGATTGATTGACAGGTTCGAGTAGCTCCCATGCAAGTCTTAAAGCTTATTCTTAATATTTGGAAAAATAATAAAGTCAGATTCATGAAACTTGGCATTTGTGTGTCCGATTATAGATCAGATATATTTGTGAAGTTTTGATGGAATTGTTTGACAGGTTCAGGTACTTGCCGTACAACTCCAAAAGCTAATTTTAAATATTTGGAAAAATTATAAAGTCAGATTCATGAAACTTGGCAGTCTGATGTCCAATTATAGGTCAGACATATCCGTGAAGTTTCTATAGAATGACTTCACAGGCTCGAGTAATTGCTACACAATAACGAAAGGTGCAGGGTATAATTCAATCGGTTTATACCGACTGAAACGTTTTTACTTGTTTAATATGTGGATTGTGGAATTTTATAACAGAATGTAAAAAGTACGGACGTACGTATGTGTGTGCACAGCAACAACATTATATTTTTGCAAGTATTTTAAAAACTAAGGCAGCTAACAGTTTTTATATTCATTTTGTTGTTGTGTTTTTACAAAATAAAAAAGAAAATAACGGTTTTTATTACATTCCGGTCGATTCCCGTTTTTTCTTTTCTTTGTTTTATGAATAAACTTTTATACAAAAGGGTTGTCGTCGTTCAATGTCAGCATCAATATCAACCATCAGCATGACTTAAAATATCTACAATACGAGTAGTATATAAAATATATAACAAAGTATTCAAGATTAATTTACTGTACGAAAATCTCTCATTTCCTTCTCAAAAACAACAACAGGAACAACAAGAGTTGTGTAATTCGATTTGTTTCTTTATGTATTTTTGTTGTTGTGCTGTTTATTTTTGTTGTTGTTGTTGTCATCATCGTCGTTCTGTTGTTCGTTCGTAAAATTTATGTTATGCTTTCGTGATTGTTAAAAGAGTATAAAAATGAATGAATAATAGTTGCGGTCTTGCGGAATTTATTTTCTAACCGCAAGGGAGATATGTTTTGCCTTTTGTTTTATTTTTTTTTTTAATTCGGTTCTCTACTATTTTTTTTTCGTAAAAATTTTTTTTTTTTATTTTATTTTCGACATCAGTTATTTATAATGTTCGTAAAAGTAAACTATATACCAATCTCTTTTAAAATTTATTTTAAGTAGATATTTGTTTTTATCTTCAAACATGTGCAACTCTTTGAATTCTGTTCAGTGGGCATAAAGTACTTAAAATTTTACATTATTTTGTTAAAATGATATCATGAAAATATCGGATATCTATGAGAGAATTAAATTTTTTGAAAAACCAATGTGAAAAAATGCTGTCATTTCTGTTTCAATGTTGTTTGTTTGAGTAACTTTAAGCTCATATATTTATGAGATCATGGAGCATTATTAAAATTTCATCTGTGATAATATTGAGTACAAAATACGCTATTTATATCTCCATGCTAATTTAATTTTGAAATTTTTAATCCAGTTTAGGCAATCCAGTTAATCCAGTTCATGCAAACTACACAATAAGGCTTGGAATGTTAAGATTTCTTTTGTTTACCGGTTAAAAGCTTGTTTGCATGTTGCAATTGAATTCATCTTTAATTTTCAATTATTAAAGCTGAAAAATTAATTGATTAAAGCCTGTTATAAGAGGGAACTTTAATGCTGAAGAATTTTACCCTTTTGCAACATTATGATTTTTATAAATCAAAAATTGTTGAAATGAATTTTTTGAAAATCAAGAGTTATTTATGTTGATATTTATGAAAAAGCATCCCTTAAATTCTTGAAAAATATTTTTGAAGAATAATTTTAAAATCTTAAAATATTTGCTGCGACTTGTTCATTTTTAATATTTTCTATTTTAAATATTCATCAAAAACAAGAAAAAAAAAAGAATTATTGAAATTTTTTCGGGACGGTCTGCTAACTAAAGTCTAATGATAATTCTTGAATAATTTTTAGTTTTCTTATGCATTAAAGCATACTACCAACGCAAACTTAAGAAAAAAATCTAAATAAAAATTTATTTTAAAAAAGTCATTTTTTTGTGAATTTCAAAATTCCATTAGGATTCTCGTGACAATCACATCTAGTATTACCCCAGCCAAATTACAGATTTCTATTCAGTTTCTTCTCCTACTCCTTTTTATAAAATATTTCTGGTCATTAAAAGCGGAAATTGTTTTATTTACTTTATTTTATATTTGTTTTTTGTTAGTTTTTGTTTTAAGATATTTTTTGCGAAAAAAGTTTTTTCAGTGTTTTGTTTTTACAACAAAAGGATTCACATGGAAAATCAAAAAAAATTACAATGTAAAAACTATTCATTTGAATATTATTTTGTACAATTTTATTCACTATTTATAATATGGAGGAGTTCTAAAAAAAAAATATTTATAATAAAAATAAAATTCAAAATTTTTAAAATATTCAAATCATTATTCTTTTGAGGTTACATAATAGATTTCCTAATGCCAATAATACAATTTGACTGCCATGATTTTAAAATATAAATTGAATTTAATTACAAAACAAAATTATTAGACCTAAGAAGCTCTCTTGAATCGTAAAAGTAATAATACCAAAACTTTTACCCATTAGAAAACTACGAAATATAGCGCAGGAATTTTATTTAGGAATTAAATTTGCCTCATAATAACATTTATGGTGTAGTGGTAAGTTATTTCAATATGAATAAAAGTAGAAAAGAAGCAGCTGTTCCGAATCAAGTACAATTGTGTTGTACTGTGAATTAACATTTTACTGTGTGAGTTATAAGACAATAAAACTCCAAAATCGAATTCATTTAATGTATAATAAGATAACGTATAGTAAGAAATTAACGAGCAAGTATAACAGATTAATGAATAATGTTAGTTCATGAAAAATAATTTAATATAGCTTTGGTAATAACCTTAAAATTACGTAAGAAAGCTAACAACACAATTATGACAACGAAATGCTAGCTTAATATTATTTCATTATGGATCGAGATTACACATGAAAAACCTGGAAACATAACTTGAATTGTACAAGGATATTTTTTCGAAAATCATCTTAAGTAATATTCGTAGAATTCAAAAACACATTATAGAAATTTTTTCCTGAACATGAAGACACCAAGATAATAAAAATTCGAATGTTCAGAATAAAATCCAATGAACACCATCTCCGAAGCATTACAATCCAGGAACAAAACACTTTGTTCCTGTATAACATTATTTCATAATTTTAAGAAAAAAAAACAATATTATCTAATATTTAAATGAAAATTTCTGTTGTGGTTAAGTCTGAAAACTTCTGTATGGTTATTTGGGTAAACTTCTTTCATTTTTAAATAGTGTTGAAAACTTTTATTATTTTTATTAAGTTTTGTTGTGTGTGAGTATAGTTTTGCATGATTTCAAATTCAGCAGTTATACCCAATATAAAATTTAATATTTTTTTATATTTTTTTTATTAAAAGCATGTCTAGCATTCACTGAAAAATATTAAAATTAGTGAAAAATTTATTAAACTTTAGAATTTTTAAAAACAATATTAACAAACTAAGAACAAAAATAGTTTTCATTGGTGTCATAGTGGTAATATTAAAAAAAAATATTTTTTAATTTAATTTAATTGCACTTTTTTAAAAATTTTAATGAAAATTAATTACTTTGCACTTATTAGTAAACTTAATTTTGAAAAAAAAAACAAGGAAAATCAAAATTGTAAAATAGCAATTAAGTTGCAATTAGAGTTAAAAAAGAAGTCCTGCGAACATTTAAAAGTATTTGAGGAAACACAGTCAGAAAAATTTGGAATAAAAACTCCTCACAGCCCCAATATCGAATCGAAATTTTAATTCATGCAAGATATTTCGTACTCTTCCAAAAACTCTGTATTTTTGAATAACTTTTCATTCAATTTTGTGAAACCTTCATTTGGTAAATGAAACCACTTGGTAAATGAAACCATATGGTTTCGTATTAAACTACTTGTTTCCTAAAATATTTTTAAATAAAATGGCGGAACTTCTTGATGTTACAAATAAAATAGATTTTCCAAATAAAAAATCAAAAATTTGTTCCATACTGTTTTTATGTTAATAACATGCAATTTTCTCTTTGTTTTTTTTTAATTAAAAGGGTGAACCTGGTGAACCAGGTCCACCAGGACCACCAGGGCCACCAGGTAATGTTGGAACACCTGGAAAAGATGGTACAAGAGGACCACCTGGAGAAACCGGACCACCAGGATCTCCAGGTGAACCTGGTGAACCAGGACCAATTGGACCACCAGGAACAATAGGACCGCCAGGACCAAGAGTAAGTATAAATTATAGTGAAACAATATGGATTTATTTATCAATTAAATTTAATATTTTTATAAATTAAAATGGTAAACAATTAACGTTAATAATGAGCAAATATTAAAAGTATTGTTCTTAGAGAAAATTACAAGTTTTAAGTCTCGATCAAGTTCTAATAATATTTTTTAATATAAAAATCCATGCAAACCATTTAAACACTTAAATAATATTAATAATATTTTCAATTGAATGACAATTAGTGGTATTAATAAATTAGATAGAGTAAAAATTACGAGTTAGTAACAATTCTTACGACTCGCAATTCTTTTGCAATATTCTTAATTTTTTCATTAAACACGACCAAAATATAAAATCATTTTTTAAGGGTGAAAAAGGACAAATGGGATTCCGAGGATATCCAGGTTTACCGGTACGTAATATCAACTTATACCTATGTAATGTTCTATAAAACTACAATAATCATGTAATACTAATAATATGGTGATCTGTTCTTATAACTCTAACCCATATATAATAAAATATTTCCCATAAAATTATTATTATTATTTCACTTTGCAATTAAATGGATTTTGTTTTTATTGCATTATATTTATTGTTGCATAACTACAAAATAATTACTTAACGTTTTTAATAAAATATTTGCGTAAAAGTAAGAAAATTGAAAATATGTTTTTAATAGCTCTTTAGAACAACTTTATAGTATAGGTTTTTATCATTAAAATAAAGCTACACTGCAATTTCTGTAGAGAAATTCCGAGAGCTTATGAATATTGTGTTGAAATTAAAAATAAATTAGGTGTAGTTTTTAAGTGGCTTGACATTAATTGAAATTAATATGTATAAGCCGTTCAAGCAAGTCAAAGTTCAGCAAATTTTCATATTCTTAACTTTAATTTCCTCAATATAGTATCGTCGTCGCTAGATTAAAACTCACTAAGCATATTTTTTGCTAAAATGGGTTAGATATAGCATATTAATACTGAAATTTCAAATTTTATGTCAAAAAATTGTACGGTTAGTAGTTTCAAAGCTTATACAGTCCTATGTCTCACTAATTCTATTTAAACAAAATATTTCGTCAATGAAAATTGACTTATGCGGGACTTAAATACAAAATAACAGAATTGAAATCTCGAGATTTTTTAGACCTGAGTTTATTATCAGATAATCTAATTATTGGAAATAGAAAAGTTGATACTAAAAAAGAATCAAATTGGCTAAAAGTGAAATGTTTTTAAATTAGCAAAACGATGTGCGCGCAAATAATTTAATACAGAAATGTTTACACAAGTGACTATCGAGCAATAAATATTTAAAGGTCACGTAGACCAAAAAAAAGAAAATCTTTTTCAAATACCTTAATTACATACTTGTTAAAATAGAATTTCAAAACCGGTATACAATACATAATATCATCGAACGACGATATACAAAATTCATTTTTACATGCTATTCCTAATCTATGTAAAAATGTTTAGTTTTCATTTGTGATATTTGAATATAAAGTGAATAATTCATTGCTAATTTTATATTAATCTTAAAATGAATTTAAAATTTAATAATTAAAGAAATGAATGAAATTAAAGTCAATTTGGATTTAATAAAATATTTTAAAATTTTTCAATGATTTTTTATAAAATTTAATAAAATTCAAACTGGTAAATTTTCTAATTAAATTTAAGTAAGCAATATATGTATACTAAAAATATCAGAATTATTTTCTTAAAATATTCAAAATGAAGAAAAAAAACAAAAATTTTTCTTGAAAATTTTCCGACACTCAAAATATGCTTAAAATAAAATTCAGCAGAAAATTATTACGGATAACAAGGAAAATTATTTAAATTATTATTCTAATTAAAATTAGTCTAAATTACGTAAATTCCTTTTTAAGTAACCATAATTTTTATCGTTCTTACAAAAAAAATACAAATTTCCTTATTTTTATGCTCTTTATTTCTCATAATCTTATACAAGTCTTATTGTTATACAATCTTAAATGCAAAGTGAAATGAAATAATAAAAAAATATAAGAATTAAAAAAAATTATAAGTCTTAATATTAAAATAAAAGCCTGTAAATTCTGTAGAAAAAAAAAAATCCTAAATAAATTTTCATGTTATTCTAAATTCTAAACATAAAATAACAAAAAAAAACAATAAACACATTCTGTTCCAGGGAAGACAAGGCCAAAAAGGTGAACAAGGGCATTTTGGTAAACGTGTAAGACATTTTTACATTTACAATACTTCTATATTATCTAACTTTTACAAATTCATATCCTTACATACTCTGTATTAATGTACGGAATAACATGTATATTAAAAAAAAAAAAAAATAAAACCAGAAAGAGAAAAAGTAAAATAGAAAATTTAAATGAAAAAGTAAATGAAAATTTAGAATTTTAACTTTTTCTCAAATTTTTTTTTTTTGTATCCTTATGTTTATTTTGTGTATACTAATAAAATAATCAAAATGAAAATTGAATAATAACAAAAAAAAAACAAAACTGAATTTCCTTCTTTAGTTTTTCAATAAGGACATAATAATTTAAACCAATAATTTGAATTTAATATCATATACTAGATTCTTGTGGTTTTAAGGGGTTGTTTTCTAGTATTAACAATTTTTTCTATTTGCATAAAATATATGGTAGTAAAAATAATCTCTGAATTTTCTATGTATATTAAAAGAAAATTTTACAGAATGTGCTATAACACTATAACTGAGTAATTATTAAGAAGTAGTAGTAGATTTGTTAAATATTTTAAATAATTTGCAATAGATTCCGATATTTCAGCAATTTAGGGTGCAATAAATCTAGTATCAATTAAAACAGGATTTATTTTTATACATAACCTTCTCATTGTAACGAATATACACTAATTTTTCGCCTAAAAATATCTCAAATTTGAAATTTCTTCTATAAATGTCTTTGATGCAACATAAATTTTTGGACAAATCCAAGATATACCAAATAATTTTTCTCACAATTCTGGAAAAAATACACTGTCTTGCTGTCTGAAACGCTATTTATTTCTTGGCAGTTATCACTTGTTTTATAGGAAAAATATTTTCCATTATATTTTCTTGTATGGATTCCGCACAATTGTAAAATTGGTACATGGGAACAACGAATTTTTTATATTCTGTTTTTCCAAATCAGATCGCATAACTAAGAAATTTTCACCTAAATCAAAAAGCTTCTGGCTATGAAGATTAAATTAATTAAAAAATTAAAATAAATTTTGGCTGTAAGTTCTTTTGTAACTTTTTTGTTGCGATTTTAACCTTGTTGCGATTAACGAAAAATTTATTAGATTTTTGTGCGGCGGCGTCGAACTCTTTTATATTTTTCTATATCTTATTGCGTAGACTATAATATTTTTTACACATCCTGTGAAAATTTGTGTTTTTAATTCTCGGTTTTTTGGTTTATATGCTAATAAATTATGTAAAAAAAAATCTATTTAATATGCGTAAAATAAAAGTTTTTGTTTTCTTTTATGATTTTATGCTTTTTTTTTTGATAATTAATACATTAAAATTTTATGCAAAGTTATTTATATGCCTTAATTTTTATTTTGTTATCATTATTAATTAATATTATTATTTTATATATTCTCAATTTGTGGGGATAAATTTAATTTGTTAAAATAAAAAACAAAAAATTTAAAGATAATTGTTTATACATATATAAGTGTTATACATGCACATATATGTATATACATATACATACATAATTACATGTTACAATATTTTATGTTAATTACAATATTTATAATCTATTATATTATTTAATAATATTAATTGGAATGCATATTCCTATCAAATTTGAATATTTTGTAGACAAATTTGTAGATAAATTTTGTATAATTGAATTAATTAATTGACTTTGCTTAAAACTAAATATGTGATTTCTTATTACTTCAATATTTAATTTAAAAGAAATACATAAATATAAGTGAAAATTACAGAAATTCGAAGTTGAAAGAGGAAGAATATTATAAGCATTCATAACCATACAACATTATTATTATAATCGTGGGAGAACTCTCGTATTTATGATTATACATAAGTATATACATAATAAATAGTAGAAATCGTCAAACAATGTTTCATTAAATAATTGCAAGATGTTATTGCATAAATTTGGGCGAAATCATGAAATTCTCCTATTACCATAGAAATAGAAGCTGAATGAATACATTTATATTTAAGTGTTAGTGTTAAAAAAATTTTTTGCATTATAGCTAAAGATAATAATTCTAGAAAAATAAATAGAATATTTGAAATTCTATGTAGAAGAGAGAAATGAAAAACTGTAAGTATTGAAAACGCAGGGCTATAAACTGAAGACGGAAATAGGATCCGAAAAAAATTTTGTTTAAGAAAAATAATTTTTTCAAAATAAAATCCACATATTTGCCTGCCAAATTTTAGAATTATTTTTTAAAAGTTATAGAAGTCTTTTAAATACGAGTACACTGAAGAACGTATAAATAGCATGAAGGTTATAGTAAAAAATTTTAATTAAAATTCCATGATATAACTTTGCTGCGATTTTACTAGTAGAAAACTAGTTTACCCAACAAGTTCTATCGTAAATATTTCAGAATTAGTAAAAAGTTCAGCACCTATATCGCTAATTTTTCAACACTAATATTAAAATTAAATAAATTGAAAATTGAAAGAAAACTGTAAAATACAAACTATATTGTATATAGAAAATACATTTTTATTGATTTGATTCTAGGAAATTTTATTTAATAAAACAACACACTTTAAAACTATGGAAAAAGGACATATAATATAAAACATAAAAATTATACACCATTAAGTTGTAAGGATATTTAAGAAAAAAAAATATTTCATTACTTCCCATATTCACCACAAATATCCGACATTTTACCCGAGAGAACAGTAAAATAATGAAATAAATAACAACTTACATTATATAGATCAAAAGAGATTCCTCCTATCTACACAAAATTTCATTCAAGATATACATAAGATAGATAATATACAAGAATCTATTTCATATAGAAATGAAATCATCTTCTCGCATATTCACAAATTCTTATCCTTCCTTTTTTAATAATTTATTCTTCCTTTATTGGTTATCCCTTTACTTTTTTTTTAGAGTATACTATACTTAGTAACTAAATACTGTTTATTTTGAATCATATTCCATATATACTTGAAAATATAAATATATTTATTCACACTTGTATTACATAATATAATATGTGTGCAAAGAAATCTGAAACTAGATTACATACCATAAACAACATCTTATATAATATACAAGGCCTCTCAAAAACCTTTGTGAATTATCAAATAATATCCTGTAAGAGAAAAAATTTTTTTTTTTTATTAACTTTAATAATGTCAAATTATTTTAATAAAATATTATTATATACTTGAATATTGTATATATATACGAGACCTTGAAATGACAATCAAAATCAAGCACTGGAATCATACATAAAATATGTAATAAAAATTTCAATATGAAAAAAAATATTTTACATATAAATTTTGTTATTTAAAACAAATAAACGTGTGTCAGATAATTCCGTGGAACGACATAATGATAACATTGTATTATTGGTGTAATGTTTATGTATAATAACATGTTGTTATGTAAATTTGATGCTCAAAGGCATCACTTAGGCACGATGCTACTTGGTATATATATCTACTACGAAATAATATAACGGTATTTATATTACAATTTGAATCTGAGCATAAGAGAAATTCCTAGAAGTTTAGAATTTTCTATATATTGAGGTCAGAAATTGCAAATAAAATTGGGGAAAACTATGAAATTTTGAATACGTATTTGAGTTTTCTTGAAATGCTAATTTGTTTAGAACTATCTAGCTGCCACTGCAATTAAATTATTTTTTTGAAAAATAAATTTTCTGCATGGATGACCCTGTAAATAAACGAAACACAAAATATAACACAATATTCTATTGTTTAATAATTTCTTAAACTTTTCTTTTAATATCTTTAGTCTTAAATAGTTTCTCCCTGACACGTACATATATTATATTTACACAATTATGTGGTTTGTTAAAAAAAAAAAGACAAAAAATTTGAAACTATAAAATAAAACCACCCCTTTCGAGTGTTTATTTTTTCTTATACTCCAAATATATTTAAGGATATTAAACATTTTTTAGGAAATTTTATACAAAATATTTTCCGGTATTTTTGTTTTTTTAGGACATTTTCGAAAAAATCGAAATTCATTTGATTTTGTATCGTGTCCGACTATTGACCATATGCCTCAAAATGTATTTGTAAAAATTCCAAAAAATTCTACACTCGTTAAGATAAGAATGTGGCTGAAATGTCCTGGTAATGCAAAAATACAGTAAAACCACATACAATAAAGATTCACTTAAATCTCAACAACATTTTCTCTACTCTCATACAAGTTCTATCATTTCATATTAGGCAGTGTTTGTAATGGACTTACTTTAATTATGAAAAACTATTTCGATTGCATATTATTATTCCAATTTACTATATGAGGTTTATTGTAATTTATTTTTCAAAAATTATGTAATTTTATTTATGACAAACCTGAAAAACTAGTAATTAAATTCATATATACATATGCCTACTAAGTAAAATTTTAAATAAGTTGGTTTTTCACAGTATACTGGCTCACACTTCTATCAAATTTTATTTGATATTTATGAGTCCTATAGGAATTTTTCACATTTAATTCTACAAAAATGGAATCTAACAATTTATTATGTAATATATTTTTTATATATATATACATATATTATATAACGTATGAGAGAATTATGTGTATGGGAAGATCCAGAGTGCAATGTTAAAAGAGTCATTCATAAATTTCTTGTTTACATGGCTTTGTCATTATAAAATTGACTAAACAAGTAGATATGCGTATACCCTCTTCATTATAGAGTAGTTCTTCTAACATTTAGAAAGTGAATTAAAAATGAATAAATATGAGGTATGTATACATATTACGAGTATATGAAATAGTACTTTATATACACACATGCATATATGCAAATACAAATATAATAAATCACAAAATTTATGTTATGTTTTTCTTCTTTTTTTTTTCTAAAATGAAAGGACTCCCTAAATTTCGTTCTAGAGAAATCAAAAACTATGAGAAATTGTAAAGAAAGATTAAAACAATTGTCCTTTTACTAAATTTTAAATTGTTTTATTTTTTCTTACCCTGAATTTAAAAAAAATACACAAGGGTTTAATAAAAACAACACGAACAATAACAACATAGAACAATAATAACAAACGATTTTTACTTTTAAAGGGATTCTAATATTTAAAAAAAAAAAAATGTACAACTAACCACAAAAATCCTGTTTATCCTGCTTAGATTTTGCTCAATACAATCTGTTGTCCTATACCTCTAAATTCTATATACATAGTTGCATTTAATCCCCTTATTATTGTTATCTATATAAAGATTTTTGTCTGATCCATTATCTTTTATTTAGTAACATTTTGCTGTCTACAAGAAAAAGGATATTATTTTATAAAACAGTAAAAAAAAACAAAAAATCCTCTTACACACGTATAACCCTTACAAAATAATTGCCGTACCAAAAACGTTTGTCGACAATTTTACTTTTATTTTTTTTCTATTTTCTTTGTTTCTTGTTTTCCTTTGGTAAATGAGAAGTCCTGCAAGATGAAAAAAACAATAAAAAAAATTTTACTATAGTCTAATATTTCATGATATTTACGTTTATGGTTAATGTCCTTTCTTAAATATCCTTTATACTCTTTAATTTTTTTTTTATTTTACTAAAAATATTACAATAAAAGAAATTATTCACACCAAATGCTTTTTGTCTGCTTCTTAAATTTTAATTTGGTCCTTAATATGAAACGCATTTACAAAATATGAAAAGGACAAAAAATTTTTTTTATAAGGATTTTTAATTTAAATTTTAAATACAATGAAAATGGTAATTATTGAAAAAAATTAATTATTTGTAAAGCAAAGCAATAGTTTCTTAAAAGATGACTTTGCTATTGTTCACAAAATTTTAGCGAAATTCTGATACAAAGGTGATAGGCATAGTTGAGCACGTCAGATTTGTAATACCCGTACGAATAATGATTCTAAGCGTTTCGTGTGATGATGTTATTTTAATTACTTATTAGTAATCCTACCCTTTTACATTTGTCCGAAATTTTAATATTCAAGCTTCAGTAGTTTCTGAAATTTCTAATATATTTATTAGAAAAAAACTTTTAAAGTTCTGTGACAGATTAAACAGGAGAAATTAAGCAAAGTTTAGGTTTTTATTATTATAAGCAGTTTCTAATTTGAAGAATTTATCATAATAATATTTTTGATAAGCAGAAACCTAAAACAGTAGTAAGTTATAAAATGTAATCGCGATTCAAATTCACCCATCTTTAGTGGTATGTAAACGAAAATCAAACTGAAAATTTTATATTATTTTCACCATTTTCTTCTTCTTGTTCTAAACAGCATCTCTGTTCTCTGTCTCGCCCAACGAACTACATCTTGCCCATCATATTGTTTTCTGATATCGATGCTTCTTACTCGATCTATGAGAGTCCTACCAGTTACTTGCTGAAAGGTTTCCATATCTATGGTTAGAAATAGTCGCTTGGTTGTAGACGTATTTGCTATGCATTCTATAACATAGGTTAGAATCGGTTTGATGCACAGTTTATATATTCTAACTTTCCTAGTTGTACTTAAGTATTTATTTTTTCCTTATGGTGTCGCGTAAGTATACAGAAACTATAGCGATGCTTTTTCTGTCTGACCTTTTATTTTACACTTTAACTCTTGTATGATGTAATATTTAATCCACGGTATTTAAAACACATTACTTTCTCAATCAGTTTGTTATTGACTATTCGTTTGCACCTTAGTTGTGTTTAGGCATTTTTACCTTTTTGATTCTGTCTATGATCTTATCCATTGTGATTTTCATCGAAGGTGTCAAAAAGTAACTCTGATTCATTTGACTAAAGCATTTGGGTTATGACAAATCTAGTAACATCTTATAGTATTCGTATTTGAAACATTGCCAAATAATTCAGTTTTTAGTCAATTTTCACTTCGTTTCTACTATAGCATAATATCTGTGTAGAAACGAACAGTTATCTATGTAGATCTGTGGGTATAGCATAATATTGAAATATCCGTGATTACTCAATATTGTTGCTGATGTCGTGTATAACAAACTTACCTCAAGTTAATCTAAAAAATTTGCTCGTAAACGTAAATCTGCTTCTACAAACAACACAGTATACTAGAAAAATGTAAAAGATTTATGGTGTGTGCCAATTAACGCAAGATTTATATTGTCAATTAACGCTTTATTTATACAATGCTGTAACAAATTTCTCTTTTATAATTTTGGTTCTAATATCAAATGAACCAATAAACCAAACTATTTAATTTTGTGTATGGTGTGGTGCAAAATGTCAATTGAACCGTGTAAAATTCTGTAGAAATTTTTTATTTTAAAATCTTTTCAAATTCTAACAAAAAATTATTCTCTTTTATTCTCACGCTAAATAACATTTTTTGTGAATTATAGTTCTTAAAAACTAATAAATAATCTCGCTAACAAATAAAAATTATTATTACTAAAGAAAATAAAAAGGTTTGAATTAAAATACAATGGTGTGGTTTTTGTTTTAGCCTAATATTTTTAATATGAAGTTTTTTATGAGTTTTCGGTTTTGAATTTAAGAACCTCTTTAAACAAAAATTTTTAACAATCGTCAATTCAAAATGAGTGTAAAATTATTAAGAATAATATTGTTTTTTTTTCTTTAGGGTGACAAAGGTGATAAAGGTGAACGTGGACCAGCAACAACAATAAATGGTGGTGAAATACCAACTGGTCTGATTGAAGGACCACCAGGACCACCTGGACCGCCTGGTAAGTAACAAAAAAAAAATTATTTTTCTTCTTCATTTTATTTTTGTTTGTTTCATTCTTTCTCATCTATACTCATAAAATAAATCAAAGTGAAACCTTCACCTTTTTATTAAAATATTTGGATAAGTGTTTTGACTTGCCTGTTTTTGTCACCTGAAATTTGAGAAATGAATGAATGAGAAAAAATAAAAGGAATTTTTTTTTTGTTTAACGAAATTATTTGTTAAATAAAATAATTTTATACAAATAGCTCAAATATCCTTTTTCTTTTGTCAATTTTTGTTCTATGCGTGCGTTCGTTGTCATTTCGTATATTTTTTAATAAGACGTGAGTTATAAAAAAAATAGTATTGAAATTGAAAACCAGGCAAAATGTTGAAGGTTTCAATTTCAGAAATTAAAAATTGTAATGAAAAAATGTTGTATGTAAATTTTTATTTTTGTAATTTATGAGGTACATACTTTTTTTGAAATAGGGAAATTCGATATTACTTATTTCAAAAATTGAATTAAAAATAGTTTATTATTTTTTATTAAAAACTCGAGTTCAATTTAAAAAATATTAAGAATAATTTTGATTTTTTAGGGCTCAAATTTAAAAATAAAATTTTTAATCACACGGTTATTTAGGATAATAAACGGGCTCACACAAAATTTCAATTCTTTAAAAAACGAAAAACAGCAATGCACACAACCATCATTTAGACATGAATTATTTAAACTCGTATTACCTGCATTCAAATTATTTGAATTTAGAGTTCCGGTAATACGATCTTTATACGAATTTAATAGTTAGATCAAGAATAGTTCAATGAAATTCGTTGAAATAATTTAGAGAAGTGAAACTATATTATTGTGTTCAGCAATCTGTGTAAATCTGCTTAAAAATTGTCAGCAAATGAAATAAAAATTACACACCTTTAACTCATATTTTGTACTCGACATCCAATTAAAAGCTAAAATTAAAATTAATTGTGGAGAATAAGGAATTCCGAATTTTCCATATTCCAACATGAACTAAAAATTCAAGACTGTTAAGAAACACCCTACATTATATAGATTTGAAATATCTGCAGTGTGTAGGTATTACAAATCTATGATGTGAAGTGCTGCTTGACACTCTCGAGATTTTCACTGAACATTTCGAAAAACCTAATGAAATGTCTTACTTTCAACAATTAATCTAAATTTTAGTAATAGAGTGTCTGATATAAAATGTGAGCTAAAATTATAATAATCAATTCTATAATCTGGTATGTTCAAGAAATCTGGTAGGGTTTAAGAATTTTTCAATATGTTAAATAAAATATAGAATTAGAATACAATGCATGCTAAGAAAATGACAAATATGAAAAATCAACCACAAAATTACTTGAAATTGAAAAAAATTGGCGATCTTAGCGCGGTCTTATTACCTTATAAGATCAAGAATAATTCGCGGTCTTAATGCCTTATCGCATACAAGAACTTAGCTTCACTTCCAATCACACATTTTAAGGAATGAAAGTACAGATATTTCATTTGCTATCGAGTACAATATGCGATGTTAACACGCAGAACGATGTTCTATGTTCAAACATATTTTAAATATAAATTGAAACATGGTAACCAATAAATAAATTTTTACTTTTATAACAAAAAAAACGACACCAATTTGTAAGATAAAAGCTTTGTTTTAAATTTCACTTTACAAAAAAAAATAATTTTTTTTTCAATATTTTGAAAAAAAAAAATTCCTTTTATATAAACTAAAACAATTTAAAACAAACTCAATAATATCCCGAAAAAAAAGGACCATTAATAATTTAGAAACTTTTCATATACACATACCGTAAAATTATTTGAACCTTTTATTCACTTCAAAGTTTTTATAGAAATATGTGTGTGTTTTGTGTATGCATAGGCAACGAGTGTAAATTTAGTAAAATATTTGATTGAGTGAACTATATTGATTAAGAATGGGTAGAAAATAGTTGAAAATGTTATAAAAACAATATGAAAAGTCTGGCGAAGTAAAAACAAAAAAAAAAAATTAAGCAAAAATTTCAATTTTTAAGGACTTTTTTTCGGTTCAAACCACATTCCAAAACATATTGGTGAATGAGACGTATACAAACATCGTTATAGGCCAAATACACAATACTATGTATGTGAACTCAGATGGATGCGCTCATTCGCATAACACTAAACTTCCACATAGCAATCCCATTTATATAGGCACGTACATATAGTTCGCTGTGTATAGATATGTAAACCTTGATATGGAGGGTATAGACCGTCTATATGAGTATTATATTTTGATTTTAGTGTTATAGATTTGAAAGGAAAACAGAATAAACAATAGAAATAACAAAAAAAACAAAAATAGAATTGGAATTCTAAGGATAAAATAGAAAAAAAAAACATTTTGGTTCAATTTAATTTTTTGTTTATTTTCTATTTGTTCTATTTGAGAGTATGTGTGTGAATGTTATTTTTGAATTATTTCTGAACAAATAAATTTTGATTCCTAATTTTTTTTTGTTTTGCTTTGTTTGTTTATTAAATAATTTCTTTCTTCTTTAAAAATCCATATAGATTGCAATTTAACACCTTAAATGAAGTTATAAGCTATGAACACAACTAGGCTTTTTAAGAAGTTTTAACTTTTACTTTTAGAATACTTTTTTTGACATAGAAATTTTTAAAACAGGCATGACAAACTGTTATAAATTTAACAATTGTTAGTAGATTAACTCAATTCAATCGATTAACACGTTCCCTGTCCGCTGAATCACATATAGTTCAGGAAATGTGCGCTCGATAAGCACTGATACGTTTCTGAGCCATATGTGCGTCAGGGGGTATATGAAACTTCTAAAGCAAATTATTCGACTGGACGTAACGGAACTGTACAGTTTCTGCACTGGACGTGCTGATACGATAATAAAGTAAAGAAAAACGCCGAAACATACGAAAAAATATTTTTTAAATTTTGCATTTTTGTATTGGGACAGGGAACGTTAATAATAAGATGTCAACTTAAGTAATTAATTTTTGATGTGGCAATAATGATAATTATACGTACTGCAGCGTAACTCGACACGACAACAAAATGAGTCGGTTTCTGGAAATTAACTGCAGTTCTGTAGCATCTAAATATGATGGTTCGCTTTCCTTTTACTCATTATTCCACTATACTTATTTTATGCGAATGAAATTTTCTATTAAATTTCTTGCACCAGCTTAAATTAGTTGCCGGCGAACTGGTTAAAATTAGTGTATTACAATTACAATTTGCACTGTGTGTAAACTTCGGGTTACCTTATTATACAAAGTCAATATTTGCAAGCTCGTATCCTAAATGAAATTGAATTTTTTGTTTCTGTATAAACAAAATTTATAAAATTCACTTTCAAAATGGGAAACAATTTTACTCAAAGCAATAAAAATTTAAAAAATAAAAAAAATAAAAACAATTTCAAAGAAAAACCGCTGTTTACGCTTTCCTCTTACTCCTGCGTCTAATATTTTTGAATTACCTGAAAATAAAAAAAGTATACAAAGTATCTATGTATATACTTTTTTTATTGTAGATCCGGGACTTTATTAAGGTATGAACCTTAGAACAATAAACAAATTACATATTGAAAGGATATAGAAAAAAAAGAAAAGAAAAATACTACCAAATAGTGAAAACAAAAAAAAAAAACAATTTTTGTGAATTTGGAAAAAAAAATAAAATTTCATGGAAGACAATAATAGAAGAAGATTATAACGTGAAAAATGAATGAAATAGATTTGAAGGACTAATAGAAAAAATTTAATCAAAACAGACCGTAAATTTTGAATTCAATTTAGAAATACTAAAATAATAAAATAACAAGACACCTTTAGTTTGCATGATAAGGTTTTCTGGAACATGTTTCCAGGAAAATTTTTAATTCTGCTTTTTCGGATGTTTATACGTCAAGGATTTATTGCTTAAAACTGAATTGCTTTATAGGAATTTGTATTTCCATACAAGTTAATAAATTTTTTTACAGAATTTCGTTTAACAATTTGACAATTAGGGTACAACCAATTGTAACCATTTAGATCAGTCGGTTAGTCGCTTCAAATGCAAATCACAAAACGTTACACTGGCGTACTAATTTAATTTTTACGAAATTAATTTATAGAGTAGGTATTAAACACTTACAGTTTGTAACGCCGGAAAATTGAAAATTGCGCTACTTCGAATTCTAAGTAGATTTTAACATGACTATCCTCCAGTTTTAATATATTGAAAGAAAAATCAATTGAGTTAAATTCATTATATTAGCAGAAATAGTTTATTATGGCAAAATTTCAGAACTAATATTCAAGTAAGCTAAGATAATATGGAAAAACTTCGAATATTTATTATACAATTTCAAAAATTATTTCAGGAGTATTCGAACCATATCACTATAATTTAAGGAGGTAGTATCAATTTTATTATTTCCAAACCCGATAGACAAAAGTACCGCAAAGTTGACACAATTAAATGTATACCAATTCCCATTTTTAATATCAATATAATATTAACCTTTATTAATGACAAATATTTCCAAAGAAAATTAATTATTTTCAAAGAAATTTCTTCACATACCCATCACCTTTTCCAGTATTTTTTTTTAAAATTAAAAAAATTTCATATTAATTGCAAATCTTCCTATCACTCCAAAATTTCCGAATAGAATCAATTTTCCCAACGATTCTTCACAATACCTAAAATTTATTTAACTAATTTCATTACGGAAATTGTATCCTTACTTTATAGAATATTCGGTGCGGTTAAGGAAAAGAAATTTCTTATCAGAATATTTTGACAAAGAAAAAGAAAAATTTTTTACAATAATTATTTTGTAGTTTGTAAATGTAATTTTCATCATTAATTCACTTACTTTTGTTAATTTCAACAATAGATCGCAGGATAAAAAAAAACTTTCTCATACCTTTACCAAAAATAATTTTCTTATTAACGCTTTTCTTATCTAAAATAATTTTATAATTGTAATTTAATGGGCAAAAATGTCTGTAAGATTTTAAAAAAATTATAAACAAATAATCTGATGTAAACAGCACATTACCGACAACAATTTGTATTTTCTGAATAATTTGAATTTCGGCAAGATTGTAAAAAGAATCTACTTTAAGGACTTATTTAAAATTTTACGAAAACAACATGATGCTTCTAGTTAGTGTACCTTCACAAATTTTGAGACCCAATTTTCTTAGAAAGTTTTCCAGTTGGTTTGTTTTACAAACTGAGTTCAAATATAAACATTTTCAGAAATTCCAGGAATTAGTTCCTTATATTGTGCAGAAAAATGTAAAATATTTCAAACCATCGTGGAAATCCAATTTCCGATCATTGCCATTTTCAAATAATTTCCTAAAGAAAAGTAATCTCCGGTAAAGAAATCATTTATTTTTTCATTATATGAGCAAAAATTCGGCATACAGGTAGCAGACAGCATGGGAGAAATATTTTTATGTCGAAAACTCCTCTGTCAAAATTTTGTCCTATCACATGACCTCTCATATTGTATGCAATACAGCCGGTAAAATGTATAACAAAGTTAACAAATAAAATAATAATGAAAACAAAAATTAAATTAAAATATTTTATAATGAATGAAAAAATAAAAAATAAAAAAACAAATATTTACAATTCAAAATTAAAGGTAAAAATAAAAGTTTTTATTTCATTTCTCCTTGTTCCACTTATATACTATTTTGTATATATATTAACCATAATGAAGTAAATAAAAAAATAAATTGAAAAAAGATATTCTTTGAAGACTATTAACAGTTTATACTCGTAATAGAATTTGGAGGATGGGGCCATCATAGTCAATGAGATGATCAAGTATAAAAGGATACAAAAAAAAAAAATTCAAATTAATATTTCTCAAGTAATTCTATAGCAACTCTTTGATTTTAAAGTAGCAAGTAGCAATTTCTCCTTTTTCTATTTATTATGTACAAAAAGTTTTTTGAAGAAGAGAAATAAAACACACAAAAAAAAAAGATTAATTAAACAAAATTTGTTAATGTTATAAATTTGAATAAGTTTAATTTACCCACAAGGTAAATACAACAAAACAATGATTGAATAGGTTTGACAGAATGTAAGCATCGTAATGATCCAAAAAGAAATTTTATTTTGAAACACTTTGGTTTATTCTTCTCATTAATTATTTCCAACTTGGAATACTACTTCATTAACACTCTGTATTACCACTACCATTTTGAAAATATTTACAAAGTATGTAAGTACAGCGGTACGAAAAAGTAATACAATGAATTACAGTGGTTTTTGTCTATTTCGTATTTATTTAATGGAAATTTGTTTTCATTGTTTTGTTTTTTCTGATTTTTACAAAATTAAAGTGGTTCAAGTTTGTTCGAATAGAGGGAGTTTTGATGAATTATTTCAATTTGTTTTTTAGAAAATAATGTCTAAAAATTGTAATTAATAAATTTATTTTAAAAATGGTAGTAACAAAATTCGCGATTAATGAAACTAAGTACAGGAAAAGCAAAAGCGGGGCAGGCCTTCAAAAATTTATTGAACTCGAAATTTAAGTCAAAATAGCTCAACTAGATGGATTAATTACAATATTATAAGCTTCTCGAAGGTGACAATAATATTATATGTGTTTGCAGAAGTTGTATACAATTTGGGTCTAAGATAATGAAGAATATTTTTTAAGGTCTATTTGGCAATTTTATACTCTGTGAATATTACAACTGAGCCATTTTGTAAATTTTGATTTCATTCGATTTTAGCCTGTATTATTATGAACAAGAAGATAAATTGTTTTTGAAAAAGAAACCCTGAAGATGGAAGCTTTTACTTTTCACAAACATCAATATGTTGTAGAAATAATTTTTATGCTCCTAATACAAAACATGACAGAATAATTCTACGGTTTCAGGGAAAATGTAGTTAAGTTATTTTTAGTAGGTTTTCAAAAACAATTTTTTGGTTATAGTTATTCAACCCAAACATCTAAGTTTTGGCAAAGGTTATATTGTTCACTTTAATTTACAAGGAATTTTCTATAGAAACTGATTAAAGTTATAATGCAGGTCGATAGAGAGTAAAAAAATCAATGACATTGTTGTAAAAAAAAATTTTGGATTTTTGACTTAAGTAATTTTTCTTTGAAGCCGTAGAATTTTTAATTTAATTGTTAAAAAATAAAATTTTAAGTAACGAAAATGCAAAAATTGAAAAATAGCAAAAGATATTTGAGCCTCTTTAATAAAATTTTCATACATTTATACAAAATAATTAATTGTCAGGTGACACAATAAATCAAATTATTTATAGCCTTTAGATTATTTTAAATAAGCATTGATTTGCTATTTCTCGGCCGAAGTTCGCTTGTTTTCAAATTATATTTATAATTTATTCTTTGTCATTTATATTTGCAGGACCTCCTGGAATACCTGGTTCAAGAGGAGAACCGGGTCCAATTGGGCCACCTGGACCACAAGGTGAAAAAGGACCTAGAGGCAAACGTGGAAAACGAGTAAGTTTTTTTTTTTAATATTTTTTTTAATTATAATAAAAATGTTGATTTTAATTATTTTAATAAATTTTAATGACTTTTATTAAAAATATTCTTTTTTGTGCTTATTTGTTATTAATATAAATGTAGAAATTTTTTTTTCCTGTGTGGTAGACAATTAAAATTTTCATTTTCATTTTGGTTTCGGTTTTAATTTTAATATGCAAAATACACTTTAATGCTTTGATCACGTAAATATTGCTGCATACACACACACACTTAATATAATACTTAAGCAAAAAAAAAATTAAATTTTTAGTGAACTGAAAAAGAAAAAACAAAAAAGTTCTTATACAGTTGAATAATTTTTATTAATTTTTTATTTTTTATCTCATGTTTTTGGTAATAATTTAAAAATTTATATTTTGATGTTATTTTTAATTTTAATTTATTATTTTAAGAATATCCTGAAGGTAAGTATGTATAAATATTTAAAAAAAAAAAATAAAAATTTATGACGCACAATGCACATACACATATTGCTTTACTATATAATATTATAATATTGTTATATTGTATAACAATTTTAAAAATTTATAATTAGCTTTTAATCATAATATTATTATAATTAGTTTAATTAAGTGTTTTATTATGAAAAATATGCACTATACATAAATTATAGCTTGTGGCAGTACATAGACAAAATAGAACAAATTTATAAACAGAGGTTCTAAGGGTAATGGGTTTTTTGCATGTGTTGTAATGATAAGAAAGAACAATTTTATTGTTTATAATACGTTTTTTATAAGCACATACGTTTTTTAATACGTTCACTCACTTGATCTCCTTTTACTCGTTAGTGAAAATCAATATACATATATTTTTTATAGCAGCCGAACTACTTGTAAATCATAGAAGTCGCTTAATTGTATTTAAATGTAATCTTTAAATGATTGATTCGAAATAGTTGAATAATATTGGGTGTTTTAATAACTAACAATTATGGTGCAGAAAATAAGAAATCTATAACACGATTCTAACACTATATAGTGGATGCTTGTCTGAATGTTCTTGTCACAAATTTTTAAAACCACTTGTTTATTATAACTAAAATTTGAATTAAAATTGAATAATATAAATTTCAAAACTATTTCTATTCTGATATGGAACTAGTTTTTCAAAAGTAATTCAAAGTTCAAAAAAAAATTTATTGAAATAATTATATAATGAAGGTATAATCTCATTTAATCCGTATGACAAGCTATGATTTCAGCTGGGCAAATTTCTAAAACCGTAAATTTTTATTACAATAAAGTAAAATCGACTTGGATAAAATCACTTCCATATAGTTATTTTATATAACTCCATATATGTCACCTTAATCCATAATACAATTCCATATATAAAACTCGGCACAAGTCGTTGAAATTTTTAACGTTATTTACCTAAGTCCTGCGTTTAAGTCTTTTATAGCTAATTAAATGCCGTTGTTTTTTCAATAATCGAAAAAGTGACTTTAAACGAGGGATTACTGCATTCATTAATCCAAAACTAAAACATCAAACAAAAATTTACTGAACAAACCATAAAACCGCTTTCCAAATTTATACTTTTGCATCATTTTACATCTTATAGCATTTAAATTTAATTTTAATCCGGCTCAACAAATATTTTCACAATTCCAATGGAAAATTTTGTATCCTTTCAATTTAAATATTATAAAAAATCTCAACTCTTTTAAAATATAAGACCATAATTTTTTATAATACTTAATAATTCTATTTAGTAATTTTTACTCACTCTTTTTGCAAACCCTTCAATTTACTGCTTCAATAATTTGCGCCAAAATGTGTGCAAATACACTTAGTTTGCATAATATAAATTTGTTATACAACTCGGTATCTAGATTTAAATTAACTCAAAATTGTTATAATATTATAAGGAAAATATTATTGTACATTTTAAAAAATGCAATCTTAATGACATATAGAAGATTATAATTATAAATGAAATTATGAATAAAATTAGATTTTCATTCATTAAACCAAATTTACATAATATGGCAATTTATACTCGTATAACAATAAAATTTATTGTATGGTAAATTATGATTCATATACAACATAATATGCTTTTGTTTATATAATTTTAAATTTTACATTGATTTAGGAAATCTTCCTTTAGAAGGGTAAAATTATTCAAGGCTTTATTAGAGTAATTCTTCAAAATAAATTTCTCATGATATTATTTAATTTTAAAAGATTCATTTTCAAAAATTCGTAAAACTTTGAAAATTAAATACGTATAACATTATATTTTATAGTTATTTTTAGATTATAAATTTTTTTCTCATAAATGTACCTAGTTATGCAAAATTTTTTTGTTAAATGATTTCCTTATTTTATAATATAATAAAAAAATATGGGAAAAAATATATTTATATTAAGATTTTTCGAACAAAAGTTAAACAAATATATAATTTACATATACACACATACAAAATGTAAAATGTTTAACTTATAAAACAAAACCTACTTAAAATAACGTTAAGGAATTGTTTCAAAGTCCAAAAAGTATTGCCGTGTTTTGCTTGCAATAAATACAAGCAATTTTTCTAAAAATTTTTTACATATTTATTTTCTAACATTTAATACACGTGATTAAAACAAAAGAAAATGCCGCATTCCAGAACTTTTCCGGTTATTTAAGAAGTTTTTTCTATTTTTTTCTTTATTGCAAGATTTCTCATTGCACAACTCTTCCTAAACTTTTTTCTGTTTGTTCGTTATTGCTAGATTTCTCATTTCATAATGAGAAATAAATTCATTCTAATTTTTCCTGTAAGTCAAATTTGCGGGATATTTCTTGTGGGATATATGCGGGACTTGCAAGTAAACACTATTAAGCGTATAAAATTTACAAATGCACTGCACAATGAGAAAAGCAGAACTGAATTTTCGAAAACGTCATTGGTAATTATTAAATTAATAGCAAATTTCATAGATATTTGTTTTATTGTAATAATAATTTTAAAAGAATAAAATTTCTTCAGAATGAAAAATAAATAAGCTAAAAAATACACCGTAGTTCATATGTAGTGTTAGTTGGTGATTTTACGCTACAGGCAAATTCCATGTTACATGTACAAATATTAAACGATGAAACTAACATTAATAACTACAAAAAGTGTTATATTTATTGCTAAAAAAAATTAATTTCAAAAAGTGTTAAATTAATTTCACTTATTATGTACAACAATTTGTTAACCTTTTGTTGTTCACATAAATTTTGTAATTGCAAAATAAAAGTACACAGGAAATTTTTAACGTCGGCAACACTTTTTGACTCACTTTTTGACAATATTTTTTAAGCAATAATACTTTAGAGACTTTATAGGTAGGTGATAAATGACAAAATTTATTTAAAAAATTTTTTTTCCTATTTTTCTTTTAAAACAAATAATAAAAAATGAAATTTTGTTTAAAGTTTTTCCTGTTTATAGTGAAAATTCCAAAGTATTTTACCAATAACATGCTGTTTTATGAAATTTTTATACAATTTCGAAAAAAAAAATTGGAAAATATTTTCGTGTTAGTTGTTTTACTGCCATTTTTTATTTATATTTCGTACATACCAAAATTTTATTTTTTATAGTACGTTAGACAGAGAAAAATTGAAGTTTAGTTTCTATTTTTGTTAATAAAAAAAAAATATAAATTTTTTCACTTATAATTTTTTTTTAAATTACTTTTTTTTTCTTAAATACCGCTATTCACAATAATGTACGTACAATATTCACAATATAAAAAGTTTTAAGATAAGTGCATAAGAATGTAAGCGCACACTATAGCTGTAAAAAATTATATTGATGCCTTGTTAATGCCATATCAGATGGCTTTATAAAAAAAAAAATTTAAATCGTATCCTTGCTGATTACACACACCTATGTTGGTTGTTGCAAGCATTCATTTATAAAATCTCTCATGAATTTTTTAAAATAAATATATGGGTGCCACATGTATACGTTCTACTTAATATTATTTATAATGGAGTGCATTATAGTATGAGTAAACATAATAGTACAATCAGTATTTTTGACGAATAGGTATGACATAAAAAATTTGTATTAGCTCTAGAGAAGCATAAATGAAATTGCTAATGTTTTCATTAACATGCGACTTTTTTTAAAATTTGTACAGTTCGTACTATTGTGAGTCTGTTCACTGGGCATTGTGCAGTAAAATATAACCTGCATAAGCTGGGAAAATCGGGCTTCCACTTTTACAGATTTTGTGGTGTACAAAAGTGACAAAACCTCCACACATATCCTTTGCAACTTGCCGTACTGGCTGTTCGGTGACACAATTGTTTTTGGATGGGGTTTCTTAAGCTTTTCTACCCCGTTGGGAATGTCTCCTGTCTTATACTTGAATATTATAGGCGGAAACTGTAATTAATACAGACAATGTGCCTATTGAAATAAAGAATTATTTACCATTATACTACACAGCATCCGTAACAAACCTGCAAAAATCGTCATTTGCATTCAATCTCAATCATGTATGCGAGTAGACTTTCAAGTGTTAGAAACAAAGTTTCATTCGACATTATTTTCAAAATTAAAATTTCATGTAGCAGTTCTGTCTTCAATTAAATTTACTTAATAAGCTCGAATAACTCATGAATGCAGAACAAAAATATTTTTAAATTATTTTAAGAATATGCGTGTAAGCATAAGTAAATCGCATTCGCCTCCAATTATGAATTTTAAAAATAGCACAAGAAGAAAACTTGCAAATAACCTTCATTTCATATAGAATAATTTTCAATAATTTGAAATACAATAATATTAAATATTAAATTTTACATGAATTGAAAAAATAATTCAATATTTGATTTGATTTTATCCTCAAAGAATCTAAAATCAAAAATAAAATTTGTTATTTTATTTTGAAATAAAATCCAAAATAGATAATATAATTTTTCTATCACCATTTTGTGAAAAAGAAAATTTATTTTTA